AAAAAAAAAAAAAAAACTAACAAGAACTATTTGTGTTTGTAAATAAACTCGGCTTGTTTAATAGACGAACTTGATTAGCTTTTCGAGCTCAACTCATTCAAGTAAATGAACGAGTTGTGCTCGAGCTTTAACAAATCGAATTGAATTGTGTAAGCGAACTATTTAGTTTATTTAACAACACTATACTTTCTAACCAAAAATTCACTAACGATTAGTTGAAATCATATATTTTTACAGTGCAATGTCGAACTTTAACAAATAAAATAAGTAAATGAATTGTGTTCTTTCTTCTCTCTTTTCTCTCCGCGTTAAAAATCCCCCAAAAGGTAAAAACCCTAAGTCGCTAATTCACCTCTGCTTCCGCCGGAGCCGGCTTCCTTGGCGGGGCCACTCATCACTGGCGAGCTCCCTTTTCAGGCTTCCCCTACTGCCCGACATGGTTTGTCTCCTCTCTCGGTGACCATGGCGAAGCGAAGGTGGGGATCCGGCGTCTTTTGTGTATCGTGGTCGCCGCCACTGTCTGCCGTTCGAAGGCCGACGGTGGCCGAGTCTCGTGGTCAGGTGCATTCCCCTAGACTCCCTGTCTCCTGTGTTGGGGCGGGTGGTTCGACGGGCGATATGGTGGGTTGCCAGAGGTGGTGATCGGCTATCTTGACCGGTTTGGTGTTGGGGAGTTATCCGTGCTGGGGCTTGCGGTGAAGAGTGGAGTGGCTCGGGTTGATGGCGGTTCGGCTCGCACGCTTTAGTCCTATTTTAGTTAGGTCGTTGCTGCAGTTTCTAGATCTGGGCTAAGTCGTGTCTCTGTCTTCTTGTCGTGGCGTTCGCGAGTGTGGCTCGGTGTTGCTGGCGCGCGCGGGAGTCGAGGGCTTTTTCCGGTTTATTTTGTCTTCTTTTGTTGTTGGTGTATTGTGTTTGTTGTTTGTGTTTGTGATGTTTGTTGCTGTTTGGTGTGTTTTTCTTTTTTGTTGAGTGTTTTTATCTGTTATTTTCCTTTGAGGAGTTGTGTATTCTCCTGTGAGCAGTTGTGTTATTCTCGTTTGGCGAGTTGTTTTATTCTCCTACGGGAGTATTTATTTTTCTTTTCGTTTGTAGTGTGCGTTGTTGTTTCTAGACTGCCTTGGGCAGTCCTCCTATTCCACCTTCTGAGTCGGTTGTAATTACGTGTTTTTGTTCAATGAATCTATCGTTTTGAAAAAAAAAAAATAATAAAAATAAGTAAATGACGTGACATTTCATATCATACATAGATATATATATTCTATAAAAAACATAATTATGTAGACCATGAGAATTCGACTAAAAATATTTAAAAATATGGAAACAAAGAACCTTCTACCCTACCTAATTACCTGCATTCCATATGATTACGGATTGAAATTTTATAAATCTGGATTTGACTAATGTACCCAGGTGAATCATAACTGTAAAAATATCATATCAATATGCAATTTTTCTAATAACATTAATAATACGCGTCATCAAATAAAATAAAATAAAAATGAAATCTTTCCATGACCAAGTAAAATATTACCCGTCAAAAAATTTCTTCACAATGTCCATCAGATATAATTATATATATATTTTTTTATTATTTACATCTTTTTCATTTTATCTATATATACTCAACGTCACCCTTGAAAGCCCAAATTTTTCATAGTGCCCACAACTTCTATTTTCTCATACACTAAATAATAATAAAAACAAAACATTTTTTTTTTCTATTAGAAAAAAGTAAAAGAGAGAATTTTGGAGAAAGATTGTGAAGAATTATTAATCATGGGTGAACAAATTGAAGGTGGGATTTGTGGAGGAAGCTTGTGGATCAACCCGTCTTTGAATCTCTTCCGTTCATCGACGACTTGTTCGTCGTCTTCGATCAACGTCTCCGGGTGGCCGAGCCACGATCCGCCGCTTGCCGCCGCTAGGTCTTTGAGCAACGACTCGGCCGGTTCAGCTTCGGATGGACCCGGTTCAGTAGTAATTGATCCAGATGTTAAACCGTCACAAGAAAACGTATCAATGGCCTCAACCCTTCAAATGATGGGAATCAACCTTTCATCTCACCCAACTATTGATGATAATTGGAACCATGATTTTATGTAAGTTTTTTTATTTTTTTTATTTACCAAATTTAATTGCTCTACCGATTTTTAGTAGATATACATATGTTCAAACTATAATATCATAGTCTAAAAACATGATAAGCAAAAATATGATATTTTATAACATAAAGTATGCAATTTATTATTATTATTATTATTATTATTATTATTACTATTATTATTATTATTTTACAAAGGTATGATGGGTTAATATAGTTAGACAATCAATTTTTATTTTTTTTTTCAGTATAGAGACATAATTTTAAATTGAAATATCATACTTTAAAAACAAGATAAGCAAAATTATAATATTTTATAACATAAATATTTTTTATTTTTTTTTACAAAGGTATGATGAGTTGAATAGTCACACTTGACTTAAGTGCAATTAGACAATCATATGTTTTCAACATATACACATAGATTAAAACTAAATTATCACATATATGACGTTTCATAATATAAGTATGCAATTTTATTACAAAGTATAAGAGGTGGATTCAAACCAACTCAAACCAAAATTTGTGCTTGAAAATTTAAATTATTGTGGTTTTGGTTTTTTTTTTTTTTTGGCCCATTAATGGTCCCAATTTTGTAAGAAAATGCTTTTTCGAAAATAAATTAAAAAAAGTTGTGTGCCTTTTCCTTTTTAAATTTTTTTTGACTTGCTTTGTTTGTAATCATATGCATAAAGAATGAAGCCAAGTTGATTCCAAGAAGCTCATTCTCATTCTTTTATTTTTTTCTCCTTGTCATATTCTTGCAGACATGAAACCGGGAAATCAGAAGAAAATTATGCTCATCACAACTTGCAACCTTCTTTGATGGACCCGACCCGCATAACCGGTTTCGAGCAAAACCCGTGTTTTCAGTTCAACTCGACTCAGTTCAACTACAATTCACCCTTTTTGCAAACATTGTTCGACGTGGAATCTAATCAACAGTTGCAAATGGACAATCATCAGTCGATAAATTACGTGCCGTCACAAAGTTATGTGAACCCGACCGAATTTTGCCCTACTTTACCCAGTAACAAAGTTCAAAAACCGGAACATGGTAATCGTCATTTGCAGTTTGCGAATAACGCGCACTTTTGGAGTTCGTCGACTTCGAATTTCGTGCCCTCGAGCACGGCTCAATTCGTCCGCCCTTCGTCTCTTCATAGCGCAAAACCTAATTTTCACAACCTTAGTACTACCAAGGTATCATTTTTATGGTTTACGTATGAAATTGGTTTTGTACTGATTTTATTAAAATGTATAATTTTTTGCAAAATGTGAATAAACCAATCACAATCATGGTGCAATATTATTACAATCATATGCTTAGAAAAATGTAACTTCAATTTAGTTTAAGAATGAAAGTTCAAAATTTTAGTTGTTAATTATTGGACTAATAAGTAATTAATTAATTAATTCTTGTAAATTACTTGGTTAATTGTCCCTCCACGTTTTGGAATTCTTGATAATTGGAGATTGTAATTTTGAAAATTTATATAAATTATTTTTGTCTTATAATTAATTAATCAATTTTTTTTAACCTAATTATCGAAATTTTAATTTATTTTTTCCAGCAACATATTATTCAAGAAAACGGCCGGGGACTAATTTCATCAGCAGCACAAAAGAAAGCCACCCATGAACCGGCGGTCAAGCGTCCACGTGTCGATAATCCATCACCATTACCGGCTTTTAAGGTAAAACTATTAAATGTAACAACATTCTGATTGCAAAAAATAAAAATAAAATTTGAGCATAATTAATCTATCAAAAATTGCAAAAAATAAAAATAAAATATTACTTATTAACTAATTGCAAAATTGTTCACTAAGTCGTGTGATTGGCCAAATGTTCAAGATTTAATTAATGCTGGTGAATATTCTCTGCAATTAAACAAATTATTATTGGACAATTAATTCCTATATAATCAAGCAAAATATTCAAAATTCAATTAATTCGTGAACATTTTCTATAATTAATTGCCTTAACAAATACTATTAGAGTACAATAATATTAATTAAGCCTTAATTACTTGGAACTTAAACAGGTTCGAAAAGAGAAGCTTGGGGACCGAATTACAGCACTACAGCAGCTAGTTTCACCTTTTGGAAAGGTAATTAAATTAAATTAAATTAAAATTTGGATACTCATGTATTTTTTTTTTCAAGATTTTGATTGGTATATTCATAATTTTTGCATCTAATTATTAGATAATTAATTATTAAAATATGTTAATCTTTCATTTCAGACTGACACTGCATCAGTTCTACATGAAGCAATTGAATACATCAAATTTCTCCATGAACAAGTCAGTGTATGTTCCTTCTCTATCTACTTTCAAATTAACTTATTATTACATATATATTTTCAGGAAAATGCTACGGTCCCGTTACATAACCATTCCGTCGGGTTTGTAACCGTTAGATTAACTTACATGATGATCTAACGGTTACAAACCCCGACGGAATGGTTCCTTAACGGGACCGTAGCATTTTCATATATTTTCATTAGAAAATAGTCTTAATTACTTTACTATGCTCTTCTATATTTACATTTTATTTTTTAATAATCTGCAATTTGCTTTTTTTTTTTAGGTGTTAAGCACTCCATATTTGAAAAATGGATCTCCTCATCAACTGCAACATCAACAGGTATAGAGGACCTAATTAATTAATAATCTTTCAAATTATGATTTTAAGAGATGAAAATTAAAATGTAATTAAATAGTTAATAGTTGAAATAAACCTTTTAAAAATTCAAAAAAATGTATAATATTTTTGCCTAAGCCTAAATCTACACCCTACTAAAAATTATATTCCAACAGCAACTGTATTTGGATTTTGACGATTTCAACGACATTTTTTTTATGCTACGAAATATAATTCCAACGAAAATTCTTACAGCAATTAATAATTGGAAAAAAATGTTGTTGGAATTATTAAATTCCAACAATAATTCAAAAAAAAAAAAAAACTTTAAATGCAATGGAAGTTTTTAGTGTTGACATATGTAATAAACATATTTTTCGAAGACAGCTATAATATTGGAATATCCGTGTATAATTAATTAATTTTGTTGATTTTTTTTTTTAATAAAAAAATAAAAATTGACACAATTGAAAATCTATTTATTCTTGGCAGCAGAATATTGAAGACCTGAAAAGCAGAGGGCTTTGCCTTGTACCAATATCAAGTACACTATTCCCAGTTGCTACTGAACAAACTATTACTGATTTTTGGACACCAACTTTTGGAGGGTGTTTTAGGTAATTTCAGAGGAAAATAATTATCTGAAAATTTATATTAATTCCTAAAAAAAAAATAAAAAAAAAAATGGAAAGCCAAATTATTTGTGTGGTGTAATAAGTATTCAGAAAAAAAGGGGGACAAAAGCAAAAGGGAACAAAAGATAAAGGGCTTAAAAAAAAAAAGGTGACAGTCCAATGCAAGTGAAGACAGCGCATTTTGGGCCATAGTGTTTAGAGAAAAAAATTAATAATGATGATTAGGGTGACATAATTTGGAGATAATTAATCTTTTTGGATTAAGTTGTAATAAATTGTTTTTTAATTTGCTGCTTTTTTTTTTGAGTGTGTGTTGTGATTTTATTTAATTTAAAGGGTAGTTTAGGAACGGGAACAGTTGTTAAATTCAGCTTTTATTTGGGGCTGAATTTAGCAATTAAGGTTAATTATTGTTGTTGTTATGCAAGTTTCTGTTCCTGTTTCTGTATTTAATGCAAGAAATTAAACAACCACATTGAAGTTGTGTTTATGTATTTTTAGTTATTTATGCTAGTTATTATTATTATTATTATTATTATTATTATTATTATTATTATTATTATTATTATTATTATTATTATTGTTGTTGTTGTTGTTGTTGTATTGTGTATATAAATCGTTACTCGTGTGGATGATTTTTATCGTTATTTTAGTGAAACATCTAATACATTTTGCATGCATCATGCATGAGCACATTTTTATTGAATAATTTTTTTTGTACCAGTTCGACTAAATATTATTCGGGTCGACTTGTCATACTATTTTTTTTCAATAAGAACTAAATTTTACATGAAGATTGATACTTTTATATAAATGCATAATTAAAATCTCTTACCACTGTCGACTACAGTCTGAAGCTTTATGGTTGAGATCATAATATGATTATCGAAGCTTTATGGTTGAGATCATAATCATAATATGATAAGATAATCAATTTATGGTATTTTTTAATGCTTATTAATTAAAATTTTGTTTTACAACTTGATTGTTGTTGTGAAAATATGTTGTCCACATTAAATGTTGGTGTTGTGTTTCGAAACCATTTTTTTCTGTACACATTGACTTCTTATTTTATTTTGATCTATATTTCCTATTTAATTTTCATTTGAAATTAATTTTTTCTTGGAATTTTAGTTCGAATTTGATATTTCTAAGTGTTCAATGTTTCCAACGATTAATCGTTGTAAGAATTTTTTTGTCAGATTTGCACTTTCTGTTAGAATTATTTCTCCCACCAATAAGTACAACCTTTCCAAAAATTATTATTGAACCTATTAAAATCCAACAGAAATTTCTACGAAAAATCAATTTCAATGGAACACATCTGTCGAAATTTTCATATGATCGATTAATTTTTCAACGGAAGTTATAACATTATAACTATCATTGATATATATTCTATTGGAACATATATAGACTATACTAAAATTGCTTTCTTAGTTTATGTGGAAAAGGAAAACTTGTGAAAAAAAAAAATGCATTTTTTTTTCCATAGACAAGAGACAAAATTTAAGATAAAACAAGTTAAAAATTCATTAAAGTAAAAAGTACATTTTATGAGAATGATGAATTTAGAAAATAATTAAAGCTTATTATGTGAGCCCCACTTGTTGAAATCTTTGCTTTCAATCTAGGCCATAAATTGCTTTCTTCGTAGAGGCTAATCATGGCCGTCCCTTTTATCTCTTTTTTTCTTGTTTATGAAGTTTTTTTT